TCACGATAACGCACCATCACACACTTCAAAACCAGTTAAAGACACGTTAAAAGATCTTGCCTGGGAAGTATTAACCCACCCCCTGTATTCACCAGACCTTGCTCCTTCAGAGGACCACTTGTTCCGATCGATGGCACACGCACTTTCCGAGCAGTACTTCAAAATGTACAAAGAGGTGGAAAATTGGGTCTCTGAATGGTTTGCCTCAAAACAAGAAAAGTTCTATTGTGACGGTCTCCACAAATTACCTGAAAGATGGGGGAAATGTGTAGCTAGTGATGGACATTACTTTGAATAAAGAGCTTTTGATGTTTCTCTTGAAATTATCATGTTTTCTTTGATTACAAAACCCACCATTATTAACCTGTACACCTGGTATATACCAAGTGCACGGGAAAGGGGACTCTTTCACTGCAGCTGAGTAGATCCAGCAAGACTTTTTGGAAGAGATTATATTTTAGCTGAAACTTGGAAGGGTCAAGTGAATGAATTCATGGAAAGAACATGGGAAACAGAAGAGCATGTTTGAGGAATGGGTGGGGTCCTTGACCTGCATCAGGTTTAGGTTCGGGGCTACAAGACAGGGAGGGAGACAGACATATTAACAGCAAATCTAGAGTGAAGTAGCACTACCGCACTGGAGAACTGCTGGGAGGAGTGATGGGCAGCCTAGTTAGAAGAGAGAGCTGAGCACCAGTCTGAGGAATGACTCGGTCACCAGGCCACCTGCATCCTAAGGTGGCTGCACAGCCTTGAGGTCTAGAAAGACATTCCTGCCTGCTCAGTGGACACCGCATGCAGGGCGCGGCTATAGGGTTAAGCCTCAGCCTGACCTGTTGGCAAAGTCACAAACAAGTCCCAGCTTAGAGGGCACAGTCCTCTTAGCATAATTAGGCTTGACCTTATGACGCTGCTTAGATCTTATCTGGGAAGCTAATGGGCTGAGGGAGGTGCAAGTGCTGCCAAAACAAGTGAAACTCACAAGAACAGTGTAACTATGGTAACCACTACCTTGTTTACCTCCGACTATAAAATAAAGGCTCAGCTTGCCTCCGGATCTCTCACCACGAATAGAGAACCTGGCTATGCTGATCATCTGAAGGCTATCTCCCTGTCCCTGGACCCGCTGGGGCTGGACACCGGCAAGGGCATCCACCTTGGTTCACTGATTTAATCTCTCCCCACTAGCTAGATATTTGCACATTCTTGTCCCTGTGTTTAAACGTTAACCAAAACTTTAGAGCAAACTTCCACCCTACAGGAACTTTGGAAAAGCGCCATCTGTTCCTCGTTCAGATGCCAATGAAGAAAGAAGCCAATCAACTGCCTTTGGGGAGTTGCCCCAGGGCTGCCCGGCTATGAAGTACCTAACCAAACTTCTGCAGG